GCTATGTTCCGGAAGCCTGCTCAGTCCAAGCCGACACCTAGGCGCAAGAGGTTCTAGAGGCCGCACTAAATTCCCAGGCAGGTCTGCTTCAGTCTCTTGAGACTTCTTAGGGGTCACCTCCCACTACTAAATATGACTTGAAGATCATGCTGGCTGACATTCACAAGTTATGGGCGGCTGACCTAACACTCCTAAGGACTGACATTCAGGACATTCTTGATGTCAGGACCAACATACCTGCCAATAAAGAGACAGTGCAATAACTTCAAGCTAACCAGTAAACCTTGACGATACACCTAATAGCCTTGGAAGACAGATAGCATCAAAACCATATTAAGATCTGAGGCATTTCTTCTGATATATCGGTGGAAGATCTCCCACATTACATCCGGAGGCTGCTGGCATCCATCTTGCCCCACACAGCTGCCAAGAAGGTCACTGACTGAGTATATTGCATAAATGGCGCTGTCAAATTATAACCTAGTGTGACTAGGGACGTTATCCGTGAGCTCCTAAAACCCTAGAGGTGATCCACGACGGAACCACCCATACACGGGCCTTCCTGAAGGCACTGGGATTGGCAGATCATAACAATGACCCAACCTTAGGCACCCTCGTAGACACCTGGGACCCTGCCCGTGTCACCCTCTTTATCCCAAGTGGCCAAAGGACCACAGGCTTTCAACACCTGACTATGCTGGGGGACTACGCTAACACATCATGTACTGAGAATGGATGAATATTGACATACCTGCAAATATGTCACTCTCTTTTCCTTTTCTTTTAAGCATACGTTTGTTGATTATTTTGCTCCATATGGTAGCTGACTTTGCTACATGATGTTTTGTGTCACTTCTTTTCATTATTTTCTATTTTATGTGTCTGACCATTCATTGAATTTTTTACTCTTTTAAGTTTTCGGTTCAGTTTGGCTCGGCATTCCGAAATTTGGCAATTCGGTTCTGTTCGGCACTTACAAAATTCGGGACTTTGGCAATTCAGTACTTTGGCAGTCCGGTTCGGCACTTCCGAAATTCGGGACTTCGGCACAATGGACTTCGGGACTTAGGGTAAGTGAACTAGAGTTGGGTTAGGAGTAGGGTTATGGAGTAGGGTTGGGTTAGGAGTAGGGTTAGGGTAGGGTTAGGAGTATGGTTAGGGTTGGGTTAGGAGTAGGGTTAGGAGCTGGGTTAGGAGTAGGAGAAGGCACTTCAGCAATTCGGTTCGGCACTTCCGAAATTCGGCACTTCCAAAATTCGGCAATTCGGACATTCAAAAGCATCCGAATGTCCGAAATTCGTCCGAATTTCCATTCAGGCCGAACCGAATTGCACATGTCTACTTTTTATATCTTCTACTGTTCCAGGTAATCTATACCACCATTATATCTACCTGCTACCTGTATCCTAGGAAGAACTACCCTTTGGAAGAACTACTCTACATTATATTCCTGTTAGGGATTGTACCACCCAAGTGTCAATACCTGAGAAAGTGTATATTGCTCCATCAAATGTGAGTAGATTACTTTTACCTTAATAATTATTAGTGTACAGCTTTAAAGAGAGCGCTATTTTTGGCCTTTTGTATCTTTGTATCTATCCACCCACGTGCCGAGTGACTGACTCCTTGAACAACGTATCCGTGAGTGGGGAATATACCGCTGCACGCGGTTATACTCAGAGCTGGTTTTATAGCTCTACTAAATGTGAGTGCTACATCATAGACCTCTTGGTTGTTTGTTCTGCACTTGGTACTAGATACTCTGCAGCATTGCCAGTTATCTTTCTGCTTTATTACATTTACCTGCCACCATCAAAAGCCTGGAATATTTACAAGTAAAGAATACTTCAAGCATTTGATATTCTATTGGACTTTTTATTTGCGCAACTTGTACATATGTTTTGTATTATCTAGGGGCAATTAAATACTGAGGCTTGATTCTCCACTCGCTTTGTACACCCCTCAGATTCTCACCATGACAAATGTGTTATCTATGCCTATCGGCAATCAACATCCTGAACACCTGGAGTATTCTTGCATATAACCACAATCATAGAAATGCTGAGCTTCCGTTACAGCTCCTTAAGCATATTTAGCCATATAATGGGGACACCTGAAAGTTTCACACCTCCTAATTAAGCCCTTTTTACGTTGCCTTTATCACATTGCCAGATTTATTTTTTTATATATAAAAAAGGTGCCTTGTTAAGGAAATGTTGATGTACAACATTTTCTCTGGCTTCTGCATACTTGTTAACTGCTAACCATGTCCAAACAACGCACTATGAAAATAAAGAATTGAAAAAAAACTTAAATAAAAAGAAAATCTGCTCTGAACCAATATTGGGATAAATGTGATGGAAAGAATTGGAGTGGTGTGATTGTCATTGTGTCAATGTAATTACTGGGTCATTGTCAGCCGTTAACATGCTGGTAATTATCAAAACATAGATTGTGGTATTTATTTTTGGACAGACCATTATGGTACCCTTGATGATTGTCGTTTAAGTAATGTTCCTTGACAGCCTCTTTGAAAAAGTCTACTATCAAGAACTAGCCAACCAGCACCAGGAATCCTAATAACCGTTTCTATTATTCTCTCTGCAGACAGTTGCTATGCAAGAATCATAGGAAGTACAGTCTGAACAGCTGCATACACAGTTTTCTATTTAAATCTGTGGTCAGGGATGGCGGAGATGGTTCAACACTTGAAGCAAAATACATTCTTTTTTAAATGTCCAGTTTCAGTTTGATTGAAATGTAGATACAATAATCTGACCCCCAAAATGTACATAGGACTGTACTGGACCTTGTCCATCACTGCATATTATAGTGGATCTGATCCATCATTGTACTTTCAAATACCATGCTTCCATACAGATTACTCTCCCAATATCTCTGGTATTGGATGACATAGACTATCCTTTGGTGGAAACATTGTCACTTTGTGTGTATTTATCCAAATAAATAAATAGTGTTCAAAAAACCCTATGGGAAGCTAAATTAACTTTAACAAAGTTAAAACCAAAATTCTTAGGTGGAAGACCATAGTTGATGACCAATTCACGGTTAAGTGAATAACTCTGAAAGGTTAATGAATAAACTCGACATTTTTTCTGAATAGAGAGTTACTGAATGGCTGAGAGCATCAGCTGACCATTCTTATTCAATCAGCGGCTCTCCTGCCCGGTGGCACTCCGTGCTTTCTGAAACTGAGAATCAGGAGCTGGTGCCGCCTGAGGTGACCTTAGGATCAGCGCTGGGAGCAACTTTGGGGTTAATCCGTTCAAGAAAGATTTAACAATTGAAGGTAAGAGTGTGCCTGGGGGACTCCTGCCACCATTACAACTTAATTTAGCAGATGTTGTTATGGTACCTAAACCGTCCCTTTAAGATCATGTTTCTTTAGCTGTACTAAGATAAAGATTGCTCTGCAACTGGAGAGTTACATGTTAGAAAATGGTTTTATAGAACATTCTAGAAGGCATGGTATGTTTGCACACATCTTGGCTCAAAATAAAGTAGATGCACTCAGTCATAGAGGAAGGGGGGCCATAGCCATGAGGCAGCAAAACATTATTCCAATGGATATTTTCTCAGTTTGTCTGACAGCTAATCTGAGCCAAGTTAGGACACATTGCTGTTGGTATACGTCGAAGTAGTATTGGGCTTAGCACGCCGTGACCGTTCTGTGTGATCAAATCCCTAAAAAGATTTTTAACAATTTTTCTTTTATATAGCCTTAAACATGCGCTCAAACTCTGTATTTTATGAATATATTGATTCCGTTGAAGGCATTTTGAAATAGGCATACTTATACATATAATATTAATAAACTTTCTGTAAGGGGTGAATATATATCCTCTGTGTTTTGATCAGAAACTGCCCTGAGTCAGTTTGTTTATATCAGTCATCTATCCAGGTTCCATAAACACATAACATTCATTCCTCTTAGACTTGATTAAGTGTTTAGGGACCTACTGGAATGGCTGTAGCTGTGAGGGACAATAATGACAGCCTTATCAGATTACTTGTTAAACTGCTACCACACACAGTTTATTTTAGGCTCGTAAATGCTCCCTGTGCTCACAGGTTCTTCTTATCATTAAAGCTATTGTTAGAAAATTTCAGTTACCAACATGCATCCAGTAGCGCTCACAAATCATAGGTCGCTGAATCACGGTAGAAGGTTTTTGGTCCTGATACAACACTCTGCGGTTTATTCAGTTTACTCTATATTGTAGTAAATTTAAATCTCCGTAGCTAAGTTAAAGGACCACTATAGAAACCCAGACCACTTCAGCTCAATGAAGTCTTCTGGGTGCCAGGTCCCTCTAGTGTTAACCCTGCAGCTGAAAACACAGCAGTTTCAGATAAACTGCTATGTTTACACTAGGGTTAATCCAGCCTCTAGTGGCTGTCTCACTGACAGCCGCTAGAGGCGCTTCTCACTGTGAAAATCACAGTGAGAAGATGCTGGATGTCCATAGGAAAGCATTGAGAAATGCTTTCCTATGGACTGATTGAATGCATGTGGCTCTTGTCGCGCATGTGCATTCGGCGCTGACATCGGAAGAGGGAGAAGAGTTCCCCAGCGCCGAGGGAGCCCGGCACTGAAGAAAGGTAAGAGTTTAACCCCTTCAGCCCGGCGAGAGTGGGACCCTGAGGGTGGGGGGAACCTAAACACCCTATAGTGCCAGGAAAACGATTTTGTTTTCCTGGCACTATAGTGGTCCTTTAAGGCTCAAGTAGTTTTCATTCTTCCATTTTCAATTTGGATCTTAGTCCTGCTACCTTGTGTTATTTGCACTGTCCAAACAATAGGTGAAATTAATACTTATTAATTAACCCCAAATTTGCCATTAGTGTGTTTGTTTTAATAATTAAAACATTTATTTAAAACACAGCCTACCATATAAACAAATGTCACATTTGGATTTCAAGTACAAACTGCTGTTCAGGGATCCCTAAAATACAATAATTATGTAAGTTGAATCAGTATTTAGATTTCTTTATCCAACGGCAAAAAATAACAACAGGTTTAATATGCTGTGTGGAAAAAAAGCCAAAAAAGGTGCAAAATGGCCTGCTCTCACTCAATGGTTCCTTTTCTCCTCCTGCAATGCATTGTGGGTGTCATGGCTGTACGTGGACTGAACTGAGTTTTGATGACAATTGCTAAACATTTAGTACAAATGTAACAGGTAATAGAGTAACCTTATTTAATGCTGGATTCAATATAAATTGTAATCAGTTTAATATATATTTTTTCAATTAATTAAGGAGGGTGGATGAGAACAATAGTGCCTAATAGGGAATTATAAAGAAGAAAACATTGTTGAGAAAATTGTTGCATAAATCCTTTAAACCAAATTATAGGTGATTTTCAATCTTGTATTCAATTATGTAGTTTCAGGGGAATTGATTGTTCCACCATGGCTGCCAATCAGAGAACGTCCAACAAGGAAATGATCGTGAATCATGTTTTTGTCAATCCTGGATGACGCTGAAGGTGTTTTGTTTTCCAGATCTATGTATTGGTTTCCTGACCCATGTGCCCTGCTGATACACTATCCTCTGCTTTGCTCCCTGCTCTCTATGTAAACTGTGTTAGGGAATCAGGTTACCTGCCATTCTGATGGTTTCTGTTACCTTCCCTACCTGCTATAGTCCAGCCCAGTCCCTTAGCACCAATTTCTTAGGTTCACTTACTAGTTCCTGTGTTTAATGGTTTCCTTTGGTCCAGTTATTCTAGCCCCTATCACTCCAAGCTCTAGGGGTCCTGTATATGGGTCACTCTGTATAGAGTTCCTAATTCCCGAGACTCTGTGCCCTGGATCACTTTTGTTCTTGTGTGTTTCTAGTTATGAATTTTGTCTGTGTACCAAATCCTGATAGTCATTAAATATTAGTTTGCCTGTTCTTGCAATCAAGTTTCCTTGGGTACCAATTTCTGACAGTGCCTGGCTATTTGCATGCCTGCTCTTAAAATCCAGTCTAGCTATGCACCAAACCTTGTAGGATTTTGGCTGTTCACATTACCAGACATCAGAGCTCATGACGAGGGAGGCCCCACAAACTCTCACCCAGGGCACCCGCAGACCATGAGGGTGGCCGAAAGATAGACAGATAGATAGAGAGAGAGAAAGAGACAGAACTTAAAATGTTAAATTATTATTGCTATATTTCTGCATTAACTGATGATATTTAATAGCAATAGAACAAATAGTGAATGAGGTTTCTGCATACTTCTGAAACATGGCACTATAAAAACATTTCTTTTGATCAAGACAAGAGAGAATAAACTGCCAAAATAAGGACTGATGAAAGACAGGACATTCAAAATTAAAACATGGATTGTTACTGTTACCCTCAATGGGAACAGCCTGCTTTGTTTCCTATGTTCCCTAGTAGGAAAGCACACAGTGCTTACAAAGGGCTTACAGTAGTTTAATAATATATTACCGCCAGTGAATGATCTTGTAACGGGTCCAGTTTCTAGAAACCAACTTAAATATTTATTGTGTCCACGCTATCAGTAACACGGGGACTCAGTTAATCTATCTAAATGACAGGAACCATGACTACTGTTGATGAAACTTGACTACACATAAAATAGATAATTTGTCAATAAAATACAGAGCTTCGGAGATCTCACAGACCTCAGATTCTTCTTTAACTGGTACCACAGCATTATGTTTTGTTTAAATGTAGTGGTCTTGAGGGCATGAAAATACAATAAGGAGAACAAAGGTGGAAGACCACTTACTGAACATTCCTACCACCAGAAACATGATGCTTATTATTAGGCACTGAGCTGGGACAAAGTCCATGATAGCAAGGGTGACTGCAATAGGGAGGCTAAGAGGACTGGAAACCTGTAATAAAACTCTGATTGTGTTTTTGTATTTGTTTTTTTTAATGTTTCTTGTATACATGTATACACAGTTTAATAAATGTCCAGATTCGTATATTTTGCATTGAATTTGATAGGTTCAGTCCTGACTTGTGGGTTTTCATAGATTTGTACATTTTAGATACACATACAGAATTTAATGACAAATCTACTACATCATAATAACAGAAAATGTAAAGTGTTCTATGAATACAGTAACTTTTAAAAAAAGTAGTATTTACATTAATTGCAACTTAATTTACTGTGTGATGATTCCTATATGCAAAATGAATATAATTTATTGCAAAATACATTTGTATTCATATACAACTGTACATTTACAATAGGATTAACATAATGCAAACAAACTGGAACAATATCAACAAATGAACAACATTATTATTAATAACTATAACAACAATATCAAAGTATTTAACTTTTCACTAGTTTCCAAGTACATCCTGGAATCTAACGGTTAGAATTTTGAAAATTCATTACATGAAAAAATTTAAAAAAAAAAAGAGAAACATATAGAGGCGATCTGCAGATCTAATAAAATCGTATAGCAAATCAGATTGTGTATGGCATGACCTAATCTAGATCAAAATGCATACCTACGCCATATAAATCATATTCCTTATACATTAAATATGATTTAAGAATAGGGGGTAGAGGCAGTTTGCTCATTGATGACTTTCTTCGTAGTCTCTCAAGTCCAACAAGTTTTCGAATTCTAAGACGGCACAAATGTTTTAGTTGACGTGGATTTCCTAAAATATTGAAATCAAGGAAGAGCTTATTAAACAAACCCTTTTCATGATATTTTCCTGCATTATATAACTGGATGATGTAGCTTCTAATGATTAAATATTTGGGAGAGTGTATTTATTTAGTATGCATCCCTTTGTGTTCTTCTGTATTTTTTACACATTGATGGGTGGAAGTTCAGAATGCTGTCTAGGGCAATACGGATTTAACTAATTATATTAAGGTACTAAATAAATGTTAAAATTAAGCTCTAGGCTAGAACAAAAAATAAAAACGATCATCAAAATAACAGGTCAAATTTTTAGACTTTCTCAGTATTAATTACCTATAATCTCTTGAATTACAGGCCACTCTTTCTGGATTTCTAGTGCAGATTTTAATTTGGAGCACAGAGGGACATAATCCATATAATCCACAAATATTCGAATAACCTTTCCCACCAAATGCTTCTCCATGACACATTGATAAAGTCACAAAACTGAAAGAGATACAAAACGATCAAAGCTTACCATAATATTTAATTCATGATAAAAACATTTAAGTGATTAGTACATTTAGATATGCAAAATGCGAACCAGGTCCATGAAAAGGTGTCACTGCCTACTTTCAGGAAGTCCTGGGATCGGCCTGATACAACTGTTATATTTCATATTTCATTATTATTAAAGGAACACTATAGTGTAAGGACTACAAACATTCCTTACACTATAGTGTCCCTCTGACCCCAATGTTCCCCTCTGGCCATGTGAAAGGTTTAAAATCCCTTTAATCACTTACGTGATTCCAGCACTGATGTCCCTCGTTGCCGGGCCAGGCTCCACCTTATCCTCTGACATCAGCTGATTGGGGAAAGTAATGCGCATGTGCGGCGAGCGCCGTGTATGCATTATGCCTACTCCATAGAAAAGCATTGACTCTATTCGTTACTATTGGGTCTATCAACACGCTGGACATCCTCATGCAAAGGGAGGGGGAAGAGACAGACCGAGAGGCTGGGTAAGGGGAGAAAGATACACACAAACTAGCTGGGGAGAAAGATACATACAAAGGGGCTGAGTGAAGTAAGAGACACACAAAGGAGCTGGGGGTAGAAAGAGACACACAAAGGGGCTGATGGGAGTTAGAGACACACAAAGGAGTGTGTAAGAGATGCACAAAGGTAAAAAATAAAAGATATAAGATATTCTAAAGGGGGTAAGAAATTCTAAAGGGGAATTAAGGGTCACACAGGTGAAGGTGCACTTTTTGGTGAGAATGGGGGTGGGGGACAAAATGCATCTTGTAGCCAGTGATGACTACACTGCAGAGATATTTGCTATATATATGGAGGATCCCATGGTCTCACAGGATCTTTCATAGACATCAATGTTGTACTTTCACATATACGAGACAGGAAGATGAGGGATTCGAAAAGAATTCGCGAGGGACAAGTTCAGGTAAGTAAATCTTGCCTTTCTCTGCCCCCCCTCCCACCATCCACTGGACCACCAGGTGCAAAGTCCCCAGACAGTAACAGTGCTTCTTTAAGGCAAGAGGGACACTGCACCCAGTCCACTTCAATGAGACAAAGAGGTCTGCACATTTTAGAGTGGCCTTTTATTGTGGCCAGCCTAAGGCACACCTGTGCAATAATCATGCTGTCTAATCAGCATCTTGATATGCCACACCTGTGAGGTGGATGGATTATCTCGGCAAAGGATAAGTGCTCACTAACAGAGATTTAGACAGATTTGTGCACATAGAAAAAGTCTAAGATCTTTGAGTTCAGCTCATAAAAAATAGGGGCAAAAACAAAAGTGTTGCATTTATAATTTTGCTCAGTGTATAGAGAAAAAGCATACACTTTGGAGGAATACCTACAGGACTGTCTATGATGACACATGATGTCCAACCTGGAAGCACCTCTGAAGATGGCCACGTGAATGCATCTCCATAAACGTCTCCATGCATGCAATCAAAACACATCTGTACATGGTATCCATTATTTAACAACATCCGCAGCATCATTTCGTCGTTCAGTGCATATTGTATTGCACTGGGAAAATGAGTATCGTTCACCAACATGAAGTAGCAGTTTACATCTGCATTATGAGCTAAGAGCAATCTCACAATTTCATGATTTGGAGATCGTACAGCCACCAAGAGGCAGTTGAGAGGGTCCTGATTTGGATCAGCACCGGATTTTAAGAGCATCTCTGTACACAACACATCTTGATTGGACACTGCAAAGAACAATGCAGATTTTCTATTATCATCGTAATTTTCAGATATATGCTCGGCCAACAATTCATTGACATCAAAGTCATTTTCAATCAGTAGCTGGAGGCACTGCAAGCTTTGTCCATCTGTTGCTGAGTGGATGGGACTTAATCCACTTTTTTTAATCGCATGTCTTGAAGTTACAGGTATGAGGTACTTCATCGCTCTAATGGAAAGTATCAAAAACAATAAGCTAATCATGTTAAACTTAATCACTTGCATTTGTTACCATATTAAATACATAATAAATATCTAAGTGAGAAAGCTAAAATGCTTTCTCTACGAGACTTAACTCAGTCGATCCTGGGTAATTCTATATCAGGAACTCTTTACAAATTTACCATCCCCTGGAACTCAACTAGCAGAGTCTTAGTTAACTTAAATGGAGATTAAGCTCAGAATCTCAATGGAAATAAACTTGGCAGACCCAGTTCCCGGAGACTTTCCTAGAATTGTTCAACATGGAGAGCATTTTCAATCCATAGTTAAAGAAAAACACTCTATTGGCTGGGATTGTTGGAGACTCCTGAGTCATGTCAAGACGCCCCTAAAAATAATTTTAACACACCCCAAGAAAGTTGTAAGAATTGCTAATTCTGAGCTAATAGAAGCAAATTCAACAATGACAATATTCAAAGGGATACATCAAGCATGAAAATAACTTTAGCTTAATAGAGTAATTTCCATGTATAGATCATGCTCCTGCAGTCTCACTGCTCAATTCTCTGCCATTTAGGAGTTAAATCACCTTTGTTTCTATTAATGCAGCCCTAGCCACACCTCCCAGAGCTGTGACTCACCCCCCATTGTTTTTTTTTTTTAAATTTATTTTTTTACAATACAGTGTATCTACTTATCTCCTGTTATTCGAGCTTTAATCATGCACCGTAGCCTGTTGCAGATGCTAACAGGCAATTAATAAAGCAGGAGATAAGCAATTCTAAATTAAACACACTGTGCAGTAAGGAGAGCTAAACATTTTTATATTTGTTTTCTGGAAGTCTATAACGAGACTATGTGAGTCACAGCCAAAGCAGATGTGGCTAGGGCTGTATAATAAAAAAAATGATTTAACTCTTAAATGTCAAAGAATTGAGCAGTGAGACTTCCGAGGCATGAGCTATACACCAAAACTCATTTATTAAGAATAAATTGTTTTGGTGCTTTGAGTGTCCTTTAAGTTATTTAGTCTCATTTGGCCTTCTAAATGCAATCTTCAATTCTAAAGATAGTTATGCTGAAAATATCCAATTATTCACAGGGTGTCAGGACAGGTGAACCTAACACCAGAGAATAGGTAAACAGTGAGTGAACAGGTAATCAGGAAGCAGAGAATATGTATTACAGGACCAAAGAGTGGCCAAGCTTAATGTGATGCCCATGATGGTCAAAAATAGCAAAGTGAAGAAAACAAGCCAAGGTCAAGGATTCCAGATGTGCACAAAACAATAAAACAAGCCAAGGCCCGGGACACCAGATAAACAGAATTGTCAGACAAAGCCGAGTCAGAACAGGAAAATAAAATCTATATAGAATGCACTTGTGGGTAACAAAAATCACGACAGGGCACTTACTACTCAGAGGAGGGAAATATATATATATAGGGTGAACTAAAACAGTATAGGATAGAATTGTCACAGGGCATCACTGAGAAGGGTCAGCAGGAAATGTGTCCCTTAATTCTAACCTACTTATGTTTTATTAAAGGAGTGTAGTGTTTTGCAGTGTTTTTTAAGGACACATGCACAACCCACAGGGTTGCCATGGTTACCTGGCAACCCCTTGCAGCCTCTGTGACGTGTGAAGCGTGTCGAATAGCCCGATTTGGAGAATACCTCCTGCAGAGGAGAGTATGAGAGGATCCCCAGACTTTGAGGCTGCGTTTGCAGACCAAAAGGTACAACTTCAAATTATAAGAGCACTCTTACTGCAACCATGGGTTGGTTCTGAAATTCCGGCTTCTCATCCAGTTGCTATAAATGTCTTTAATTGAGATAGTGAGTAACATTACTTACAGGTAATGCCCTCCATAGGCTGCCTTGTGTATGGGTAGATATCCCTCTTTGTCGGGTATATTTCCACTTGCACCATATTCCAAAAGTAGAGCCACACAGTCTGGATTTCCACCAGTGGCTGCATCACATAGCACTGTGGACCCATCATGTGCCTGGACACTGATATCCCCACCTATGGCAAAACGTTCTCATATATTAAGAATACAAGGATCAAGGTATGTGTGTAATTTTGAGTATCAGTCTATGGAAGTTGGCACAGTTAGGAAGTACAGTGAAGAATAAATTACTTTCAAAATTATTATTAGATCAACATATGTGGACCTGTGGTGATTATTTATACATTACACATATCACTATATCATGTGGCATTCTATAAATAATTTAATTTAATTTCAAGTAAACCTAACACCTATAAACAAAATCCAATGACTTTCCAGTAATCCGCAGAGATAAATATGTTACGTTACACTTTTTATTTTGTAATTGGTTTGTGCTTTAACTATATTAAATAGATGGGTTTAGAGAGTTATCTGTTTGACGAGCCTGTCATTATTGCTATTAATATAGCGCTAATTTATTCCTGCTGAGCTCTACAATATTATGGAAGGGGGAAATTTAACAATAAAAGGCACAATTACAAAATTATACAGGAACAATTGGTAGATAAGGACCCTGCTCAAGTGAGTTTTCAGTCTAGAGTCCATATTTGGTCATTTATATGGTACCAGCAATACTTGGGCCATCTCACACTCAGAACAGATAAACATTTCATGTTCATATGACTACATAGTTATAGGCTGAAGCATGGGCGTCCGCAGGAATTTTTCCAGGAGGATTGGGGAGATGGGGCATAATTGTAATGACATTCATGCTTGGCCCCTTTTTGACAGTGTCATGAAGGGGAGGGGCATAGTCATTATAACATAAAGCCAAGGTGAATAGCATTTTCACAACTATGGTGTCAGGAATACATGTTTGTATTCCTGACACTTAAGCAAATTACAGGAACATTCTGATCACCATAACAACTTCATCTAAATGAAAATGCTATGATGCCAGGAAGCCCCTGGGTGCTCTTTCCTTTAAAGGGTTAAACCGCTCTCAAATGGTTTAACCAAAGACTTCCTCCAGCTCCAGGTCGCTCAGTGGTATTCTGCTTCTGAAACATAGTGTTAGGAAGTGCAGATTGACGTCAGGCATGGGTGCCGCTGATTGGCAAGAGTGGTCAGCTGATGCTCAAAGCCAATCGCTAGTTCCCGGTTTATAATTTTTTTTACTTTTTTATGAATGGGGAGCTACTGATTGGCTTAGAGTGCCAGCTGACCGCTCTAGCCAATCAGCGGCACCCCTACCCAGTGGCACTCTATGCTTCCTGACACTCAGTAAATAAAAGTGAACACGTTAACACTATTTTTTTTACCTGGGGAGATGAGAATCTCCAAAGTTTCCTGCCAGGCCCAGGTACCAAAGCCTTATGATGTGGTGTCCAGAATGAAGTGGAGGGATCACTTCACTTGTCCTTCCTGCTCCAATCTCCTTTTCTTCTCCTTCACACAGTCTTCTTTTTCTTCTGACACTCTTCTCTCCTCTTTGGTTCCTTCTGCTCCTTTATCTTTCTGCTTCTTTTGCGCCCTCCTGCTCCTTTCTCTTTCTGATCCTTTTCCTACTTTACCTTTGTGCTCCTGATTCTTTCTGCTCCTTTACCTTTGTGCTCCTTCTGTCCCTTACTGCTCCTTGCTGCCCCTTCCAGCTCCTTGCTGCTCCATGTAGACCCTTTCTGTTCCTTCACCTACTTTACCTTTGTGCTCCTGATTCTTTCTGCTCCTTTACCTTGCTGCCCTTTCCAGCTCCTTGCAGATGCTTTCTGCTCCTTGCTGCCCGTTCTGCTCCTTGCTGTTCCTTTCTGATCCTTGCTGTTCCTTTACCTTTCTGCTCCTTCTTATTTTTTCTGCTCCTTTACCATTGTGCACCTTCTGCCCCTTCCTGCTCATTTCTTCTCCTTATCCTACTTTACTTTCCTACTCCTTGCTGCCCCTTCCTGTAGGCTGCCCCCACATCCCTCACTTACCTGATCTGTAGGCTGTCTCTGCAGTCTGGGAGTTGCTGGCTGCACTCTGTGCTGCTCCCCGCGGATTCAGTCAGGAGATAGAAGCAGGGATAAGATGTAGCTTCCTATCCTTGCCTCTCTCCATACACAGCGCTGGTATTGCAGTGCATTCTAAATCTGAAAAGAAAAATCTGCTCCCCCTTGCCCTTCCTGCGGACGCCCATGGTCTGAAGCGAGACATGAGTCCATCAAGTTCAGCCTTTCTCACATCTGTTTTCCCCGTTGATCCAAAAGAAGGCAAAAAAACAAAACAAAAAATGTTTAAAGTGTTTTCCTATTTTGCAACAAATTAGGAACAAATTCCTTCTCGACCCCAGAACAGCAGTCAGATCTCTCCTTGGATCAAGAAGCTATTACCTGACATATTATGTTTTTGCAATATTTATCCAGTTACTGTTGAAACATCTGCACAGACTCTAATAACACCACCTCTTCAGGCAGAGAATTCAACATCCTTATTGTTCTTACTGTAAAAGCTTTTCCTTTGCCTTAGACTAAATCTCTGTTCTTCTAGTCTAAATGCATGACCTTGAGTCCTATGTATAGTTCTGTTTATGAATAGATTTCAAGACAATTGTTTGTATCAGCCCAGAAGATATTTGTATAATGCTATCATATTCCCTCTGAGGCTCCATTTTTCTAAACTAAAAAGATTTAAATTTGTTAACCTTTCTTTATAACTAAAATGCTCCATTCCTTTTTTTAAATTTTGTAGCCTGCCTCTGCACTTTTTCTAGTACCATGATATCCTTCTTTTGAACAGGTGCCCAAAACTACACAGCATATTCAAGGTGCTGTCTTACCATTGAATTATAAAGAGGCAAAATTGGCTTCTCATTCTGAGGATTAATTCCCCTTTTTATACATGACAATATCATACTGGCCTTAGCAACATTGTGTCTAAAACAATCCCCAAAAAGAAAGACAGTAAATGGTAAAATTGCAATAAGACTGAATTACAAAAATATATACTCAATAATATTATACTCAAAATGCACTTGTCAATATTTCAAAACTTATTTTAGTGATGCTGATATTGATTGGTTCTGTCTACTGTTTTACAGAAACAACTTTAATTTCATTTTTAACATTAATGTTCTATGTAAGCTTTTTATAATACTTCCATTTGAAATAATATGCAATTGTTCAAAAATGATCTAACTGACTCATCTCATGACCTAGAGCTTCCCAGTGGTTTAGGTAAGTTAGGATTAAAGGACCACTATAGGCACCTAGACCACTTCAGCTTAATGAAGTGGTCTGGGTGCCAGGTCCAGCTAGGTTTAACCCTTTTTTCTATAAACATAGCAGGTTTATAAATGGGTTAATCCAGCCTCTAGTGGCTGTCTCATTGATTTTCACAGTGAGAAGACTCCAGCGTCCATAGGAAATCATTGTGAATGCTTTCCAATGGAATGGCTAAATGCGGCGCGCGGCTCTTGCCGCGCATGCGCATTCAGCCGATGACGGAAGAAGAGGTAGGAGAGGAGGAGGAGAGCTCCCCGTCCGGCGCTGGAGAAAGAGGTAAGTTTAACCCCTTCCTCCCCGCAGAGCCCGGTGGGAGGGGTTCCCTGAGGGTGGGGGCACCCTCAGGGCACTATAGTGCCAGGAAAACTAGTATGTTTTCCTGGCACTATAGTGGTCCTTTAAGTTTAGGGTGTAATGGCTAGGCTTATGGTTTAGGTGTTAAGATAGAATTTGGTTTAAATTTACATTTTGCATTTCTACTAGATTGTCACTCCACTGCTTCAACTTTTACATTGTTGACCCTCAACTTTGAGATGTTCAGTGTCAATGTTGTAATGACATTATAAAAATGTACATGTTCGTTACTAGTTTTGAACTTTCTTATACAAAGAAATCACATGCATTACATTTCACATACCTTTGTGGATTAGTTGTTCGAGCACATCACAATGTCCAAACTCAGCTGCAACTCCCAATGGTGTTACGCCAAACCCATCCCTAACGCCAAGATTTGCTCCGTTTTTCAGAAGTAAAGAGACAAGATCACAGCGTCCCTGTTTAGCTGCTTCGTGAATGGCTGACCATCTCTTAACACACGGTTGGTTAATGGTGCAATTGTAACTAATGAGAATTTCTGCCATGTCAGAACTTCCAATCTGAATTGCTTAAAAAAAGCAAAAGACACTTATCTGCACCCATCGTGAAAGAACAATGTGATGTATAGGTATTTTTATATATACACACAAACACAAGTACACACACTAAGTAGACACATTCATGCCAGTTAAACAACACACACAGCAGCCATCTAAGTTAGCTTTATTGCCTGCATATCTTATTTTTTAAATGATACAATCACAATCAGTTGTGAACTGTTTGGAACCGATGATGTTTAACCGGGGAATTTCTGAAAAATTACAGGAATATTGATAGTCAAACTGGGAAAACTCAAGTGAGCTATTTTCCCAATTCAACTGTAGTGGATGAAAATGAAATACATAATTTGATCAATAATCTCCCAAACTGTATAATAACCATGTATATGAAGGGGTTATTGATCATTCCATCAAAAATAAATGATTCTGCAAATTGTTCAAATTGTCCACCAACCAATATTGTCATCTAAATGGACCACCACTACAGTGCTACATGTTATTTACGGTGCCAAAGTCACTTACCAATAAGAAGAGGGGATTCCCCCTTTCTATTCTTGGTATTTGGCCAAATTCCCTTCTCAAGTAGTGCACGAACATTTTGAACCAATCCCGCTTTAGCAGCAAGAGTAAGTGGTGTTTCACCATCATTGGTCTTCTGTTCCCATAAAGATTTGCAGCCTGCTGTATTTTGTACAAAAAGACAAAAGCCTTTTTAATCCACGATTGCCATCTGACACCATACCATAATATGAAAGGGGAGGAACATGTGGAATAAATAAGGGCCTATCCAGGAAACAGAAATTTGGTGTATGCAGTACTCACACTGCTTGACTCTTACCAGATCATATTATTAAAATTAGGTTGATAAGACGAATCATGTCCATGATGATCAAACATCCAACAGTCTGAACAGTCCAAAAAGTGCAAAATCAACAGAAAAAAATAAATCTGAGGGTATTTTGAATTGTTTTTTGAGAAGAAGATTTTTGAAAAAGAACTTGTTAACACCCTAACAATAAAACACTTGTCGTCTGCATTACTCCCCCTGTGGGTTTGTAATCTTATTTGACCAGGGTTCCCAGTCATCTCTTGTTAACATGCATACATTTTTTTCTTATTTGTTATTGTATCCCCACGTTAAAAGGTACTGCAGAATACGTTGTAGCTGTACACCTTGCACTAATAGTAATTACTTGTTGCTATGAGATAGTGATGTATGTCTTGATTGATTCCTGTGCTACACTGATTCCTTTTTTGGTGGAATGGCACTCTCCTCATCTAGATTGAACTTATCAACGGGAGAATTCAGACAAATGTTTACAGTATTTTTGTTACCTTTAGAGCTTGGTATTACACATTCATCTTAGGTTAGTGAATGTTCCAATTGATTAAAGGACCACTATAGTGCCAGGAAAACATACTCGTTTTCCTGGCACTATAGTGCCCTGAGGGTGCCCCCACCCTCAGGGACCCCCTCCCGCCCGGCTCTGGAAGGGGTTAAAACTTACCTTTTTCCAGCGCTGGGCGGAGAGCTCTCCTCCTCCGATCCTCCTCTTCTCCTCCTCCTGGGCTGAATGCGCACGCGCGGCAAGAGCTGCGCGCGCATTCAGCCCGTCGCATAGGAAAGCATTTACAATGCTTTCCTATGGACGCTTGCGTGCTTTCACTGTGAAAATCACAGTGAGAAGCACGCAAGCGCCTCTAGTGGCTGTCAATGAGACAGCCACTAGAGGAAATAGGGGAAGGCTTAACCCATTCATAAACATAGCAGTTTCTCTGAAACTGCTATGTTTATAAAAAAATGGGTTAACCCTAGAAGGACCTGGCACCCAGACCACTTCATTAAGCTGAAGTGGTCTGGGTGCCTAGAGTGGTCCTTTAAGTCACCTTTGAAACCTTCAAGGAGAACAATAGTGAATGAAAAGTAAAATGTTGATGTTCCACAAAAATGCGTGTATTTAATATGTTCCTGGTGAGTTTGTTCACCTATTTATTATTATTATTATTATTATTTTATTATTTATATAGCGCCATCACATTCCGTAGCGCTGTACATTGGGTGGACTAACAGACATGTAATTTTAACCAGACAATTGGATGTACAGGAACAGAGAGGAGGGCCCTGCTCAATGAGCTTACATTCTAGAGGGAGTGGGGTAGAGTGACACAAAGGGTAAAAGTAGGAGTGCAAAGTAGGTTGTTAGATAAGTATTCACTGAGGGCTTAGTAGGTAATTTTTTACAGTTGCAGGAGAGGAGTCATGGGGGTGGGGGATAAAAACCTGCTTACAGTTAAACTGATATGCTTTCTTGAAGAAGTGAGTTTTCAATGATTTTTTGAATGAGTGGAGACTGGGTGAAAATCTTATGGAGAAGGGAAGGGCGTTCCAAAGAAGAGGTGCAGCCCTGGAGAAATTTTGGAGGCGAGCATCAGAGGTGGGAGTACGGACAGAGGATAGACGTAGGTCTTTGGCAGAGCGAAGGGGCCTCGACGGGACATACTTGTGTATTAGGGAGTATAGGTAAGTTTGAGCAGCATTATGTAGGGACTTGTGAGCAAGTCTTTTTTTTAAATTGAGCCCTATATTTAACTTGAATTCATTATAGATTGCAGTGGTGCAATCTTGGAACATGTAAGACCACTGAGAAGGTATTGCAGAATTCAAGGCGAGAGAGAACAAGAGCATGGACCAGCACCTTAGCCGCATCTGGGGTTAAATAGGGGCGAAAGCGCGCTATGTTTTTGAGATGGAAGCGACAGGATTTGGTGATTGATTGGATATGAGGGGTGAAGGAGAGGTTGGAGTCAAAAAAGAACACCCAGTCAGTGAACCTGTGAGGTAGAGGTGATGGTAGCGCCATTGACTTGGAGGGAGACAGACACAGGAGTAGTAACACTTGAGGGAGGAAAGACCAGAAGTTCTGTTTTGGACAGGTTGAGTTTAAGGAAGTGAGCAGCCATCCAGTTGGAGATCGAAGAGAGGCAGTCAGAGACACGAGTCAAGATGGGTGGAGAGAGCTCAGGAGAGGACAGGTAGATTTGCGTGTCATCCGCATAGAAATGATAACGGAAGCCAAAGGAGCTGATGAGTTTACCAAGGGAGGCAGTATAGATAGAGAACAGTAGGGGACCAAGGACAGAACCTTGGGGGACACCGACAGAGAGTGGTTGGGGCGAAGAGACAAAGTCAGAGAAAGAAACACTGAAAGAGCGCTGGGAGAGGTAGGAGGAGCACCAGGAGAGAGCAGTATCCCGTAGAAGCTGTTGATGATCAACAGTGTCAAAGGCAGCAGAAAGAACAAGGAGAATTAGGATAGAGTAATGGCCACGAGATTTAGCAGCGATTAAATCGTTGGATACTTTGGTCACAGCAGTTTCAACAGGATGACCAGCGCGGAATCCAGACTGAAGGGGGTCAAGCAGAGAGTTGGATTCGAGAAAGTCAGTCAGTCTGATGTACACAACTCTCTCGAGGATCTCGAAGACAAATGGCAATAGCGAGATAGGGCGGTAGTTGGATGGGGAGTTGGGGTCAAGACTGGGCTTTTTCAGAATTGGGGTTACAGTTGCATGTTTTAAAGGCCAGAGGAAAGGGAGAGATTGAAGATTTTAGTGAGAGGAAGAGCAAGAGAGGGAGACAAAGTGCGGATGAGATGCGAGGGAATAGGATCAATTTACATGCATTGTCAACATTATAAAACAAGCCTAGTGCCCACTGACACATTTAACCATATAGTCTCAGTCAAAAAAGGAAAATATCTGGATGAATTTATTTGCAATCATTCATATAAACTTGTGGCACGCATGTAATAATCACTTTACTAACCAATTCATGAAACCATACATAAAATTAACACCACAAATGAAAAGGAGCTGCTATTAAAGTATGTCAAGAGCACAGAGAGAGATTGACAGAGAAGAGTAGGACAAGAAAGGAGACATTCACAAGATGGTGGGCCTACATACCGTATAGGTTTAGAAGGAAGGGAGATAGCCGAGCCAACATAAGAATTATAGTAAAGGATATACAGATGAAGTGAAAGAGAAAAATACATTAAATTGCGGTATATTAATGAGGTGTTACAAAAAACTAAATGAAAACGCCCACCTTGCAGGAAGACTACCATTTTCAAATAAAAGATATATTTTGCAGGCAGTGTATACATAATATGGCTCTCCTCAGGAACCATAGCCCAGCTCCACTGCAGCCTCACCATAACATGGAAGTTACATTTCTGCCTTAACTATACACATCCATCCAACCTTTGATGACGCCATTGGGTTGAGAGAACTAGGGGAGGCTTTGCCTTTGGAGAGTTTGACTCTCAATGAGCCAAGGTCTTTCTGGATGCTACTAGTGGGGAGCTTTGTCACCCCTGATTTTTCAATATAGAGTGTGTGTATTTGCTGTCTGTGTTCATGAATGGGCTATAATGCCCTGATGGCAGCACTGAGTGATGGGCCATCTAACCCTGTCAGTTTTGGTGCCGTTGAACTGCCGATAGTTCCAGAGTCATATATGTAGTTCTAGATTCCTTAGAATATATTACCAAAATGTATGTATTTAAAAGGGTTACGCCATGCATCATTATAACTACAGTCCACTCTACCCCTGTTTGCCCTATTACCTGGGTCCTTGCTGGGTGCTGGGGATCCTCTTGTGACCAATGATGACTACTGGATCCAGAAGTCAGCTGACTGCTCTCAGTTAATGAATGCAATTCTGTGCATAGGAGTATGACTAACTAATGACAACCATATGGCGCTGCTGAAAATGCTCTGTGTGTAGCTTTTCAAACTGAAACACGGTACATACAAACTCCAGGCACCATGACCACATCAAGTCATTGAAGTGGCCATGATGCTTAGAATAACCATTTAAGGTATAATGTTTGCAAATTGTACAGTAATAGTTTGCATTCACCATGAGACCTTACCATCTAGAATTATTTCAGTGATTTGCTGCACCGGTTGAACGACTGCGTTATGTAAGGGAAACCAGCCATTCTCGTCAGCCTCGTCAAGGGCATATTTATGTGTCACATGTTTCTGTAGCTCAGTGATTTCTCCTAAATGCAAAAGACTTAGTTATTTAGAATTTCAATACCTAATACTTTTGGTCGGTTAGTACAAATTACACAGATTACCTTGTTTTATAGCAGAGACAATTTTCCGGTTTGTTTCACTGGGAGGCACAAACCTGAACAAAACATTACAATAATGGACAATTGAAAATGAATCATTAGTTTCTCTAAACAATCCACACAACATTATTTTAAAATAAACTGAAGAGTTGTCAATTCTATATAAACATATCACAACAAATCAGATGGACATAAACATATTTATATTAAAGAGTCATGAAAACTGAACAGTGAATTTGCCACACAAAAAATAAATATCAAAACAACATGATGGATATAGGCCGATTTTATGCATGCCCTGGTATTTACTAATATCCCAAAGTGCTAATTTGATTGATCCCAGAAGGGCTCAAACCTGCATCTGAACTTTGATCAGGTCCAAAATTTGGGTCACCAAACAACTGATTGACTACCTGGCTGGTAGATAATATGTAGCAGCATTATGTTGGATCCTGGATGTTCTTGTTCTGTGTTTAATCTCCAGAACAATTTCAAGCATTTGGCAACTGAGCATGCTTAAACATGAAACCATTATTTACAAACCACTGTCTAGAGTCCTCCACACGCTTAGTCATCTTGCTTTATTGGTCCATGACATTAAATTCTGACCAGGGCATTGTTTTTAGCTAGATCTTAATAGATTAAGGGCTTGACTATACCTGATGAATGGTATGACTAGACTAATAAAGGATCTTTAAATAATCTTTAGATAGAGGAAAATAGCTAAAAACAGACTAGAAATAGAACTGAAATATGCCATGAAAAGCAGTAAACATACAAGGACCAATTATACAGCCAATAAGTACAATACAATTATACTGAGTCACAAAGCACTCAAATGGCTATTTACTAAATTGAGAATTGAAGGTGAAACTGAAGTGAATTTTAAATTTGAGGCCAAAGTAACGGAAGGCATAGCTGACTTAGAGATAGAATGTTTTCTTTTCTTTTTTTATACTACATTCACACTAAAAAACACATACTCTCCCGAGAAACCGGCATTGTATTAACCGTTTGTGCCTATTACTTTCCATATAAATACTTATATCACTAGTTACTCTCCGGAGTCAGACACACACTGCGGGGCCATCTCAGACCTTCTATATTATAAGCCTTCATTACAAGCCATAAACTTGTCCACTATATTTTTCCACCTACTGGTTTTACTCAGACCCACAGAGTTTCCCTGAATTATTCCAGTTTCCATTTTCCATTGGTATATTATTTGTTTTTTAATTTCAGCCCACTCTAACACTTTATTGCTTTTCCAGTGCCTAGCTAGGACTGTTTTAGCTTTCCCGTCATTACATCTCCAACAGGCTTGATTCTGATCTTTATAAATTTTTGCCAGTTTTTCTGGGACCAAATACCACCTATTTATGAGTTTATAAAAATTCTCTACTATATTCAAACAGTGTACCGATTTATTTACCGTAACTATCGCAGTTATCATGTCTTGCTCGGTAATTTCAATATGTAGATCTTTTTCCCACTTATTCTTAGATTTCCAGACATAAGGCTTCTTAGAATCCTTTAAAAACTCATAACATCTAGTAATATGGCCTTTATTTCCCTGAGTTTCCAGAATCTTTTTAAGATTACTTGAGATTTTATTAAGCTGGAAATCCAAGAATTTCGCCAAAAAAACTTAATTCTTAGATATGTGAATATCTCGTTGTTATCAATCCCAAACTCTGATTGTAGCTGATTGAATGGCTTAATTTCCTTTCTATCAATAATCTCTTGGATATTCTTAATTCCCTTCTGTAACCACCCACTATTAATATCTTCAATATTCCCCTTAATCATCTCTATGGGTAAAAATGGAAACAATCTATATTCTATTTTACAGTCTTTCTTGATTTTATTCCAGGATCCCAAAATATTAGAAATAATGATCGAGTTTCCTGAGCATACTGGTTTACTCCTATTTTTCTCCTTTCTTGTTGCCCAAAACAGAGCGTTCAGATTTTCAGTCTCTACTAATGATTATTCTATTTGATACCAAGCTTGATCTATTTGATCTTTGCTTATAGTATTAACAGCATGTGCCAGCATACAGGCATTATGATATTCTATTATGTTTGGGGCAGCAAGACCTCCATCTTTTTTTTTCTTAGATTGCTGATGTAAACTTATTCTGGGTCTTTTACCCTTCCAAATGATTTTTGAGAAAGCTGACTGTATCATTTTTAACCAAAGGAGTTGGAACTTGTATTGGTAGCATTCTAAAAAGATAGTTCCATTTGGGCAGAATATAGGAGCGAATAGTGTTTATACGCCCTATCCATGAAATCTCCCTACTAGCCCATTCTTTTAGAATCTTATTTGTATATTTTATGAGGGGGAGAAAATTAACCTCCATAACTTTTTTTATGTTTCTTGGAATTTTGATACCAAGGAACATAATATTATCCTTTACCCAGGCAAAATTGTAAGATATTTTAATTAAAAAAACTTTTCTTCTCTAGATATATTAGTTGACATTATTGTAGTTTTGTCAATGTTTAATTTATAATTTGAGTATTCACTGTACTGACCCAATATCTTTATCAATTCCGGTAGCGAGGACCTAGGATTCTGCAGCATAAGCATGACGTCATCGGCATATAGATTGATCTTATGTTTTATTTTATTTAGCCTAAGTCCCTTGATCTTCCCATTTTGCCTTATATCATCCGCCAAGGGTTCGATGGTTAAAACATAAAGCAAAGGGGACAGGGGGCAGCCCTGTCTAGTACCATTCTTGATATTAAACCAGTCTGCATCTATTCCTGGACCTAGCGTCCTTGCTGAAGGCATAGTATATAATGCCATAATGGCATCATAGACTGCGCCCACTATACCATATGCCTTCAATGTATTCGCCAGAAAGTCCCATCTGACCCTGTCAAAAGCTTTTTCAGCATCCAATGACAGGGTCAGAAGGGAAACATTCTTCCTTGATGCAGCATCATGAACATCCAATATCCTTCTAAGACCACCTGAAGCTGCTCTGCCAGGAATAAATCCAGCCTGGTCTTGATGTATCAGGGCAGGAATACAAATTTTTAAACGGTCAGCTATAATCGAGGCATAAATCTTTACGTCTCTGTTAAGGAGAGATATAGGGCGATAATTCTCCAATTTAGCTGGATCTTTGTCCGGCTTCAGGATTGGAACAATATTTGCTTGAAGCATCTCTTTAGGAAATGTACGGTTTGCCACTAGAGATAGAATGTTTTCAGTAGACTGACTTCACACATAAAGCGTTTCAGTAAGCGAACGTGCTTTAGGGGTCCGGAGACACTATTCTAGTCATTGCGTCACTGAGAAACAAACATTAACTATAGATGTGTGAACCTGCTCTTTGGGAATAAATTACTTATCCCAAAAATCACTGCTAGACAGGAATTTTTAGGTTAAGATCAGACCAGAATGAGATGCTCTTGATTGGAGGCTTCATCCTGGAATGGGAGGGGGGGGGTAAAACTCAACCTTTTTTACTGATAATATTATAACCTATAATATTATAGGGGTTAACACCTTTTTTGTATTTAAATGTTTGTCTATTGCATTTACTGAGAACATGATGGTTGTAGAGTTTATTATAATTACCCATAAAGCACCATCATACTCCTTTGCACTGTACAATAGGTGAAAAAAACAAGTAGTTGTAATAAAACAAGTTGGAGGTGCAGGAACAGAATGTGGTGACTCAACAGAGTTTACATTCTAAGGGATAGACAGTGGATTGAATAACAAATTTCAAAATTCAGGGTAGATTAGCCAAGCTGCAACTAAATCTGTGTTAAAGAACTTTTCCAATTTACCCAACTTGCTTTTCAATTTAGTGAAGTTCATTTAGTGAGTAAACCCAAGATGACTTTATGGACACCAACATTCATTTATTTATTTATTTACTTGTTTTTTCTTTTTCTTTTCTTTGTATATTTCTTGTTCACTTTATAGACCTTTCTAATAAAAGTTACGTTTTAAGATATTAATAACATCTCTTTAGGGCAGTGCTTTCCTCCTTTCACTATATCTTATTCCATTTAGGGTTACCCCCTTTACTGCCTTATCTACCTATGCTTCCACAGTCCTCGCCTTCTATACTCTAGAAAATGTACCCGGAGCTCTACCCGATATGAGTGATGATCCTTTTTCACTGGTGTGGCTAAGCAAACACAGAATTTCAATAATGTCACTAGGGCTTGGAATCTGTAGCAATGTTATCTCTAGTTCCCGTGTAGCACGTCATCATCACAGGAATGGATATATATTATCTGCAAACAGAAGAGCATTTGCTAACCTGTTACTCGAGTGTCCAATGTCTTCCAGCGATGCCTGAACACCAAACTGAATTTCACAGTTATTGAGCTGCTCCTCCTCCGTTTCATCCATTTCTTATCTTTGGTAGACGTTCATACGGATAACAATGTGTGCTGCAATCGCTACATAATCTCACAAGATATCTAGAACAAGAGATAACATCATTAGCACACTTGGCTGTCCATAAGCTTCACTTTGTGATTGTAATGCAAATCACTTGATGCGCTATTTTGTTTTTTCTTTGTGATTTCAGCCCCTCTTGCTCAACATTGCAAGATTAACAATGAATTCCTGGTTTAGCGAGGTTACTGTTTTGTGAAATTTGACATTGAGATCTCTTTGAAACCGCTGTTGATCAGTCACTGATGCTGGGTTGTATTATATGCCAATACTATATATGACATGTTCATATATTTGTGAGATTCAAATAATGACATGGAAATCCAGCTCTAAAAAAGGATGAATCACTTTCTCTCTTACATGTAGTATGTTCACATATAAAGGTTCAGATAAAATGAGTTGCAGATCCAATTATGTGAAATATCACATACGATGGTTTAAATATCTGCATCATGCCTAATTTATCTTTATTTTATATAAGAAGTAGCATAAGGTGCAAAGTTTCTAGTGCTTGTTAAATACTTGGATTGGCATCTTTAACAATCTGAACCAGAGTCGCTTTTATTCTGGTTGTTATTAGTTATTGGTTAGGAAGAGGGGAGCAGCGCCTAGAAAATGTCCTCAAATCCAAATAAGTATGGACCAATATGAAACAAACAAAAATGACAAAAGTGCAGAATATAGTGTAGTAAGTCAGTGATATTATAGGATAAAATCAAAGGAATTGCACTTACATTATATGGAGCTAGTAATTAGCTCAAAATGAATGTGCCTAGGTGGTATGATTCCTTTGGATATACTGGTGCCAGTCTGATTTATAAACTTGCAACAGCACTGTGCACATTAGCAGCCTTGAAAAGGTTTGGCCAGTGACTGACACTGGACATTTTTTGGACAGACCCACATCTTTATCATGGTGATCTGATGACAACACGTCAACTCCATTAGGCTTTCCCTGTCCCATATCCATACTTCCCAACTTTAGGAGGTATACATTAAGCAATTTAAAAATGACATGTAAGCCTTGTTTACACCATTTTCCAATCTTTCATGCAGAATTTACTAATAATAACATCAATTAAAAATTCAAGCTAATCTTCCTTCTTTCGGACACCAAAAATCATCAGTGAAAAAAGTTTTCCTTTCAGTGTGCATTTTTATCAGTAACTGCGACTAAGCGTTTACAAATTACACTGCAGTTTTAAAATGGCAGATTTCCCAATTAAAAACTGTCTGATCGTCAAATGATAATCAACTGCAATAACCTTGATAAAAAATAATGAAAATTTCAATTTTCAATAACCAGTTTAGGAAATAATAGATATAATACTTTTTCGAAAATGACATATGTAAAGAAAAGATAAAATCACATAAAGCATGCTGATGAAAAGCTCAGTTCTCAACAACACTTTTCATAGAATGTTAATTGTCTTTCTTTGCCATTCCTAAAAGATAAGTGTCCTTTGTAAAACTACTTTCAACATCTACATCTCTTCTTTATTTTTCACATTGTTGTCCCCAGGTATACACCCATTCTACGTTCCTACAATAAATATTGCAAATCATGTGAAGGTAAACCAATACATATTGGGCCCAGACCTGCCTCTGTTCCCTTAACTAACCACCAATGAAAAGTACATCCATGATTCAACACCATTAAAATATGTCATCACGGAGGGATATGTCACAAGTTTGGCTCGTCCCTCTTGGAAAACATTCTGTGGGCGTCCAACCATGGCAGTGAATTGGAGAGGGTGTGGGGGAGCACCCATGCTCACTAGCTATATATATATTTCTACAATAAGGCAAATAACAAAAGAAAAAGTTCACATTGAGGAATAAGTGCATTGTGTTAATCTACAAATACAGCAATCTCTCACCTTTTCCAGGGGCCATCTGAACATTGGTACTTGAAGCCTTTACACAGGGGCCGTCACTTGCACAACAAGGGTAACACTCATTTTCTAAAATTAAACATGAAGTGATTACTTAAATTTAGACGTGACCTTGTGGAGGAGTAAGTCAGGCACACACATAGGAGAAACCACATGCACTGTCAAGGGAACTGATTGGGAACAAATAACTTAAGCATTTGAATTCCTAGTCTTACTAAATAAAGTGAAATCTCAAATTGTTCCCCTGTCTTGTCTTAGTGACAATGAAAAGACAGTAATGGTACATCTTAAAAGTTTAGTTTGCATAAAGTATTATATCTATACTTTGTAATTAACAGGAAGCAGTTTGTTTTCACTAAGTTTTATCTGTGAATTTTCAGTAAAAATTACACTAATTTAAATTGTAGGTGAATACTTACATGCCATATAATATATGTCAATATACATGCAGTTTTTATTCATTAAACATATGTTATTTGTGCAGTTTACTCCAGTTTTCATTCTACGGGGACAGCAACCAAACAGTGTTTACATACCAGTGAATACTAAATATAACTGGAGGAAGATGTAGATAATTGGCAAAGAGGATGTGACAAACACTCCTTACCATGTACGCTTCCCACCAACTCCTGGAGGAGTGTAGAAGCTTGTCTCCTGCCCACCGACTATGGTCCAGGTCTGAGACACCGTTCGGGAGTTACCCTGCCCAGGCGCCATTAGCAGCTTTCCCTGGTTCGGCACTTTCCCTTCATTCGAATGTTATGGAACTGTTTTCGGCATGAGGTGACCGTGCGGTTCCCGGACTTGGTCCGGGGTTTTGAACCATTTCTCAACCTGCCAAGAGAGGGATTTTTGGAGGGAAGGTGTCTGAGACTAAGGGGAACAAATGCTACCTGTGAGCCAAGCAGAGCACCTCATATTTCGGACACTTGAGCTCCCGAAAATTGGCCGGCAAAAACACCAAACGCCCTGGAACTATTTTGGGCGTAGGACCACGTGTGCAGCCAGTCAGAACTTTGACACGGTGGCGTTTTCCCTACACTGCATTGATCTGAGCGCTATTTGGACAACCTGGGTGCTCAGATCAGGGCTGTTTGGGCATGTATAGTATGCAGGGTTATTGTATGTTTTTATTGTGTTTTGGGATACTTTTATGTTTTTATATTTTTGTGTTTGGCTCTCTGTTCCTGTGAGATAATTAGCTTAACGGTCTTTCACTCAGTTATATCCCAGACCCAGAGATTTCCATTAGAGGCTTGTGTTGAATACAATGGAGACCCCATGCTGGGGTCTGTGCATAAAAGGCAGAGTTTGGCTCAATAAAATCAGTTGTACTCCCAGAACTATGTGTTGTCTAGTTACTGGGAGAGGAAAGGGCTAATCACTGCTCAGCATCTTATTCCAGCTCATGGATGATTCAGCAGTGAAAGCCCTTGTAAATACTACAGCTCCTAGGACTGTGTGTCGTCCAGTCCCTGGGAGGGAACAGAGCTAGTCCCCTATTCTGTTCCAGGACGGAAAGGCTCCAGGATGACTCCAGTCAAGCCACGGCGACTGGGGCAGAAGCGCTGAGGTTGTTCCTAGTTCCAGCTAGGAAGCGGTTCTTGGCGGAGGTACCCAGATGGGGTACAGAGAGCTCCGCTACAGAGGAAATGCTCAGTTTCGATTGACATTTTGTCATTTTATATAATAAGTACAATTCAGCTTGAAATGATCAGTTTATAATAGTTTATACCTGCCAATCTTTGCTGTACACCAGTGGGAGTAAACCTGGTCCCTAACACCCACAAGTGGGTGACTCAAGCTTTCATGGTGGGTGGTGGCATATGACTGGCCATGTGGGTACAGGTATGGGTGTTGAAGGTGCCCAAGGTGTAGGCACGGGTTATGGTTTCTCTCCTGTCTCTGGATTGCTACGTCTCAGGACTCCAGCTTTTTTATTTTCAGCCCGGGAAAGCTCCAGTGACGTAACTGGAAAAGAAAAAGAAGTAACGGAGAAGGAGAGAATAAAGAGACAGGAAAAAGAGACTCCTGATATATAGATTTTCCGTTTTATTTTTTGTTGTTGGCAAATGGTATTATTGTCAGGCTGTGCCCATGTTCTTACTGTCAGGCTGTGCCCCTGGTATTACTGCCAGGCTCTGCCCATAGGATTACTGCCAGGCTGTGCCAATGGTATTACTGCCAGGCTGTGTCCATGGATTTAACGGCCAGGCTGTGCCCATGGTATTCTGTCAGGCTCTGCCCATAGTATTACTGCCAGGCTGTGCCCATGGTATTACTGCCAGGCTGTGTCCATGGTATTACTGCCAGGCTGTGTCCATGGTATCACTGCCAGGCTGTGTCCATGGTATCACTGTCAGGCTGTGTCCATGGTATTACTGCCAGGCTGTGTCCATGGTATCACTGTCAGGCTCTGCCCATAGTATTACTGCCAGGGTGTGTCAATGGTATTACTGTCAGGCTCTGCCCATGGTATTACTGAAAGGCTATGCCCATGTTATTGTTGCCAGGCTCTGCCCATTGTATTACTGCCAGGCTGTGCAAAAGGTATTACTGCCAGGCTGTGGCTGTGTCCATGGTATTACTGTCAGGCTGTGTCCATGTTCTTACTGCCAGGCTCTGCCCATTGTATTACTGCCAGGCTGTGTCCATGGTATTACTGTCAGGCTGTGGCTGTTTCTATGGTATTACTGCCAGGCTGTGTCCATGGTATTACTGTCAGGCTGTGTCCATGGTATTAAAGTCAGGCTGTGGCAGTTTCCATGGTATTACTGTCAGGCTGTGGCTGTTTCCATGGTATTACTGCCAGGCTGTGTCCATGGTATTACTGCCAGGCTGTGTCCATGGTATTACTGTCAGGCTGTGGCTGTATCCATGGTATCACTGTCAGGCTGTGTCCATGGTATTACTGTCAGGCTGTGTCCATGGTATTACTGCCAGGCTGTGTCCATGGTATTACTGCCAGGCTGTGTCCATGGTATTACTGTCAGGCTGTATCCATGGTATTACTGCCAGGCTGTGTCCATGGTATTACTGCCAGGCTGTGTCCATCGTATTACTGCCAGACTGTGTCCATGGTATTACTGTCAGGCTGTGTCCATGGTATTACTGCCAGGCTGTGTCCATGGTATTACTGCCAGGCTGTATCCGGGGTATCACTGCCAGGCTGTGTCCATGGTATTACTGTCAGGCTGTGTCCATGGTATCACTGCCAGGCTGTGTCCATGGTATCACTGTCAGGCTGTGTCCATGGTATCACTGCCAGGCTGTGTCCATGGTATCACTGTCAGGCTGTGTCCATGGTATCACTGTCAGGCTGTGTCCATGGTATCACTGTCAGGCTGTGTCCATGGTATCACTGTCAGGCTGTGTCCATGGTATCACTGTCAGGCTGTGTCCATGGTATCACTGCCAGGCTGTGTCCATGGTATTACAGTCAGGCTGTGTCCATGGTATCACTGTCAGGCTGTGTCCATGGTATCACTGCCAGGCTGTGTCCATGGTATCACTGCCAGGCTGTGTCCATGGTATCACTGTCAGGCTGTGTCCATGGTATCACTGTCCAGGCTGTGTCCATGGTATGACTGTCAGGCTGTGTCCATGGTATCACTGTCAGGCTGTGTCCATGGTATTACTGTCAGGCTGTGTCCATGGTATTACAGTCAGGCTGTGTCCATGGTATCACTGTCAGCCTGTGTCCATGGTATCACTGTCAGGCTGTGTCCATGGTATCACTGTCAGGCTGTGTCCATGGTATTACTGTCAGATTGTGGCTGTGTCCATGGTATTACTGTCAGGCTGTGTCCATGGTATCACTGTCAGATTGTGGCTGTGTCCATGGTATCACTGTCAGGCTGTGCCCATGGTATCACTGTCAGGCTGTGTCCATGGTATCACTGCCAGGCTGTGTCCATGGTATCACTGCCAGGCTGTGTCCATGGTATCACTGCCAGGCTGTGTCCTTGGTATCACTGTCAGGCTGTGTCCATGGTATCACTGCCAGGCTGTGTCCTTGGTATCACTGTCAGGCTGTGTCCATGGTATTACTGTCAGGCTGTGGCTGTGTCCATGGTATCACTGTCAGGCTGTGTCCATGGTATTACTGTCAGATTGTGGCTGTGTCCATGGTATTACTGTCAGGCTGTGTCCATGGTATCACTGTCAGGCTGTGTCCATGGTATCACTGCCAGGCTGTGTCCTTGGTATCACTGTCAGGCTGTGTCCATGGTATTACTGTCAGGCTGTGGCTGTGTCCATGGTATCACTGTCAGTCTGTGTCCATGGTATTACTGTCAGGCTGTGTCCATGGTATTACTGTCAGATTGTGGCTGTGTCCGTAGTACTGCCAGGCTGTGTCCATGGTAATACTGTCGAGGCTGTGTCCATGGTACTGCTCAGGCTGTGTCCATCTGGTATCTGCCGGGCTGTGTCCATGTTATCACTGTCGAATGTCCATGGTATCACTGCCAGGCTGTGTCCATGTTATCACTGTCAGGCTGTGTCCATGGGTATCACTGTCCGGGCTGTGTCCATGGTATTACTGTCAGATTGTGGCTGTGTCCATGGTATCACTGTCGGGCTGTGTCCATGGTATCACTGCCAGGCTGTGTCCATGGTATCCTGCCAGGCTGTGTCCTTGGTATCACTGTGTCAGGCTGTGTCCATGGTATTGCTGTCAGGCTGTGGCTGTGTCCATGGTATCACTGTCAGGCTGTGTCCATGGTATTACTGTCAGGCTGTGTCCATGGTATTACTGTCAGATTGTGGCTGTGTCCATGGTATCACTGCCAGGCTGTGTCCATGGTATCACTGTCAGGCTGTGTCCATGGTATCACTGCCAGGCTGTGTCCATGGTATCACTGTCAGGCTGTGTCCATGGTATCACTGCCAGGCTGTGTCCATGGTATCACTGCCAGGCTGTGTCCATGGTATCACTGCCAGGCTGTGCCCATGGTATCACTGACAGGCTGTGTCCATTGTATCACTGTCAGGCTGTGTCCATGGTATCACTGCCAGGCTGTGTCCATGGTATCACTGTCAGGCTGTGTCCATGGTATGACTGTCAGGCTGTGTCCATGGTATCACTGTCAGGCTGTGTCCATGGTATTACTGTCAGGCTGTGTCCATTGTATTACAGTCAGGCTGTGTCCATGGTATCACTGTCAGCCTGTGTCCATGGTATCACTGTCAGGCTGTGTCCATGGTATTACTGTCAGATTGTGGCTGTGTCCATGGTATTACTGTCAGGCTGTGTCCATGGTATTACTGTCAGATTGTGGCTGTGTCCATGGTATTACTGTCAGGCTGTGTCCATGGTATCACTGTCAGGCTGTGTCCATGGTATCACTGCCAGGCTGTGTCCATGGTATCACTGCCAGGCTTTGTCCTTGGTATCACTGTCAGGCTGTGTCCATGGTATTACTGTCAGGCTGTGGCTGTGTCCATGGTATCACTGTCAGGCTGTGTCCATGGTATTACTGTCAGATTGTGGCTGTGTCCATGGTATCACTGTCAGGCTGTGTCCATGGTATCACTGTCAGGCTGTGTCCATGGTATCACTGCCAGGCTGTGTCCTTGGTATCACTGTCAGGCTGTGTCCATGGTATTACTGTCAGGCTGTGGCTGTGTCCATGGGTAGTCTGTGTCCATGGTATTACTGTCAGGCTGTGTCCATGGTATTACTGTCAGATTGTGGCTGTGTCCATGGTATTACTGCCAGGCTGTGTCCATGGTATCACTGTCAGGCTGTGTCCATGGTATCACTGCCAGGCTGTGTCCATGGTATCACTCAGGCTGTGTCCATGGTATCACGGTCAGGCTGTGTCCATGGTATCACTGTCAGGCTGTGTCCATGGTATCACTGTCAGGCTGTGTCCTTGGTATCACTGCCAGGCTGTGTCCATGGTATCACTGCCAGGCTGTGTCCATGGTATCACTGCCAGGCTGTGTCCATGGTATCACTGTCAGGCTGTGTCCATGGTATCACTGTCAGGCTGTGTCCATGGTATTACTGTCAGATTGTGGCTGTGTCCATGGTATCACTGTCAGGCTGTGTCCATGGTATCACTGTCAGGCTGTGTCCATGGTATCACTGCCAGGCTGTGTCCTGGTATCAGTGTCAGGCTGTCTGTCCATGGTATCACTGTCAGGCTGTGTCCATGGTATTACTGTCAGGCTGTGTCCATGGTATTACTGCAGGTGGCTGTGTCCATGGTACTCACTGTCCAGGCGTGTCATGGTATCCACTGCCGAGCGTGTCATGACTGACTACATCACTGCCGGGCCGTGTCCATGAGTATCACTGCCAGGCCCGTGTCCATGGGTATCACTACCAGGCGTGTCCATGGTATCACTGTCAGGCCGTGTCCATGGTATCACTGTCAGGCGTGTCCATGTGGTATCACGCGGGCGTGCCCATGGTATCACTGCCAGGCCGTGCCCATGGTATCACTGCCAGGCCGTGCCCATGGTATCACTGCCAGGCCGTGCCCATGGTATCACTGCCAGGCCGTGTCCATGGTATCACTGCCAGGCCGTGTCCATGGTATCACTGCCAGGCCGTGTCCATGGTATCACTGCCAGGCCGTGTCCATGGTATCACTGCCAGGCCGTGTCCATGGTATCACTGACAGGCCGTGTCCATGGTATCACTGCCAGGCTGTGTCCATGGTATTACAGTCAGGCTGTGTCCATGGTATCACTGTCAGGCTGTGTCCATGGTATCACTGTCAGGCTGTGTCCATGGTATCACTGCCAGGCTGTGTCCATGGTATCACTGTCAGGCAGTGTCCATGGTATCACAGTCAGGCCGTGTCCATGGTATCACTGTCAGGCCGTGTCCATGGTATCACTGCCAGGCCGTGTCCATGGTATCACTGCCAGGCCGTGTCCATGGTATCACTGCCAGGCCGTGTCCATGGTATCACTGCCAGGCCGTGTCCATGGTATCACTGCCAGGCCGTGTCCATGGTATCACTGCCAGGCCGTGTCCATGGTATCACTGCCAGGCCGTGTCCATGGTATCACTGCCAGGCCGTGTCCATGGTATCACTGCCAGGCCGTGTCCATGGTATCACTGCCAGGCCGTGTCCATGGTATCACTGCCAGGCCGTGTCCATGGTATCACTGCCAGGCCGTGCCCATGGTATCACTGCCAGGCCGTGCCCATGGTATCACTGTCAGGCCGTGCCCATGGTATCACTGCCAGGCCGTGCCCATGGTATCACTGTCAGGCCGTGTCCATGGTATCACTGCCAGGCCGTGTCCATGGTATCACTGCCAGGCTGTGGCTGTGTCCATGGTATCACTGTCAGGCTGTGTCCATGGTATCACTGTCAGGCTGTGGCTGTGTCCATGGTATCACTGCCAGGCCGTGTCCATGGTATCACTGCCAGGCCGTGTCCATGGTATCACTGTCAGGCCGTGTCCATGGTATCACTGTCAGGCCGTGTCCATGGTATCACTGTCAGGCCGTGTCCATGGTATCACTGCCAGGCCGTGTCCATGGTATCACTGCCAGGCCGTGTCCATGGTATCACTGCCAGGCCGTGTCCATGGTATCACTGCCAGGCCGTGTCCATGGTATCACTGCCAGGCCGTGTCCATGGTATCACTGCCAGGCCGTGTCCATGGTATCACTGCCAGGCCGTGTCCATGGTATCACTGCCAGGCCGTGTCCATGGTATCACTGCCAGGCCGTGTCCATGGTATCACTGCCAGGCCGTGTCCATGGTATCACTGCCAGGCCGTG